ACTTTTATGCTCAGTAAATATTCAATGAATGCTGGGCCCTTTTAGACCTAGAGACATTTGTTTAAATGTGGAAACCACAAGTGAAAGCTGTTGGTGAATTAACTCGGATCCCTTTCCTCTCTTGACTGCTGGAAAACTTACTGATGGCTCCGTGCACTGTGACCCTTGGTTATGCCCCAGGGGTACTTCCCATTGGTTTGTGATCATCCCACAGAGTAGCAGTGCAGTGTTAAGGACCCCTCGGCAAGAAGAGCCCTTAAAGAAACCCATGCTAATAGGATCCAAGGCTGGGTGCGGTGGCTCACACCTGTAATCCCAACACTTTGGGAGGCTGAGGCAGGCTGATCACTTGCGGTCAGGAGTTTGACATCAGCCTGGCCAACATGGCGAAACCCTGTCTCTACTAAAAATACAAAAAATTAGCTGGGCATGGTGGCAAGCTTGTAATCCCAGCTACTTGGGAGGCCGTGGCAAAAAAAATCACTTGAACCTGGGAGGCAGAGGTTGCAGTGAGTCAAGATTGTGCCACTGCACTCCAGCCTGGGCAACAGAGCAAGACTCTATCTAAAAAAAAAAAAAAGAAAAGAAAAAAGAAAAAAATAGGCTGGACGTAGTGGCTCAGCACTTTGTAATCCCAGCACTTTCGGAGGCCGAGGTGGGAGGATCACTTGAGGTCAGGCGTTCCAGACTAGCCTGGCCAACGTGGTGAAACCCTGTCTGTACTAAAAATACAAAAAATTAACCAGGTGTGGTGGTGACCAGCCTGGGCAGCAGAACAAGACTCTAATAAAATAAATAAATAAAAATTGAAAAAAACATCCAAATTAGTGCTGAGATTATAGGCATGAGGTGATTGGTAGATATCGGCTGATCAGATAATGAATGGGTAACTATCTAAGGGGAGACTTGTGTCCAGAGGATTATTATAAAAAGAAAAATTGAGTTTTGTAAATGCTTTGTTAAGTGAATGATTAAATGAAACTATCAGTTTTGGGAAGAAGGTTGCAAATGGTGGGGGTGGGCTGCTTTGGAAATTTTAGTGAGACCCCTGTGGCTCCTTTTCTCCCCAGATACAGTTTTCTGTGGCAGATTGGAAGGAACACTGGACTGATAGGTGGTTGGCCTGACTTCTTGCTTGTGGGCCCACTGGCCAGATGGGTAATCTTGGAGAATTTTCTTTTTCTTTTCTTTCTTTTTTTTTTGAGACAGAGTCTCGCTCCGTGGCCCAGGCTGGGGAGCAAGTGTGATCTTGGCTCACTGCAACCTCTGCCTCCCGGGTTCAAGCAGTTTTCCTGCCTCAGCCTCCCGAGTACCTGGGATTACAGGCATGTACCACCATGCCTGGTTAATTTTGTTTTTTTTAGCAGAGATGGGGTTTCTCCATGTTGGTCAGGCTGGTCTCGAACTCCTGACCTCAAGAGATCCACCCGCATCAGCCTCCTAGAGTGCTGGGATTACAGGCATGTGGTACCATGCCCGGCAAAGAATTTTCTTAACCTTTCTGAGCTTTTGCTTCCTCGTTTGCAGAATTAGTGGAGCAGATAGAAAAGGCAGCGAGGTAGATGATGACATGTCCCTGGGAGTCAGGCAGGGTTCTCCAGTTTCTCCACCTGGCTATCATCACTTCCTGGCTGAGCAGCCTTGCCCAAGTTCCTTAACTTCTTCCACACTTGCCAGAGTGGGAGGGAAAAAGGAGTTTCCTGTTCCTGCCACAGGACCCCCTAAAGAATCCCGTGGAAATTAGATCCAGATCACAGAGTGATTGATAAGTATTTGTTGACTTGAAGAATAGAAGGATAAGTGTCAGGGGAAACTTCTGAAAGATTTTTTTCCCCTAAAACTAGGCACATTGAGGCATAATTTATATACCATAAACATTGCTCCCCCTTTTTCACCAACTTTTAAAAAGATGGTAAAATTATTGTAGTAAAATTATTGTATTAGCCTTTTTGTGTGTGCGTGTGATGGAGTCTTGCTCTGTCACGCAGGCTGGAGGGCAGTGGCGAGATCTGGGCTCCCTGCCACCTCTGCCCCCCAGGTTCACTTGATTCTCCTGCCTCAGCCTCCCGAGTAACTGGGATTACAGGGGTGTGCCACCACACCAGGCTAATTTTTTGTATTTTTAGTAGAGATAGGGTTTCGCCATGTTGGCCAGGCTGGTCTCGAACTCCTGACCTCAAGTGATCTGCCAGCCTCGGCCTCCCAAAGTGCTGGGATTACAGGCGTGAGCCACCGCGCCTGGCCATATTAGCTGTTTTTAAGGATATAGTTTAGTACGTTCACATTGTTGTGTAACGATCACCACTATCCATCTCCAGAACTTGCTTCATCTTGCAAAGCTGAAATTCTGTACCCCGTTAAACAAAACAATGCCTCCCCATTTCTTCTTCCTCCCACCCCTGGGACCACCCTTCTACTTCCTGTCTCCATGAATTTGACTGTTCTCGGTACTTTATGTAAGTGGAATCATACAGTCTTTGTTATATAGTGACTGGCGTACTTTGCTGAGCATGGTGACCTCAAAGTTTATCTATGTTGTAGCATGTATCAGAATGTCCTTCCTTTTTAAAGTGAAATAATAGTCCCTTGTCTCTGTATGTCATCTTTTGTTTGTCTGCCCATTGGTCCACAGATATTTGGGTTTTTCCACTTTTTGGCTACTGTGAATGTGGCAACTATGAACATGGCTGTACAAATATCTCTTCAAGACCCCGCTTTCAAGTCTTTGAGGGTATAAACAGAGAAGTAGAATTCTATTTCTTTCTTTCTTCTTTTTTTTTTTTTTTGAGATGGAGTTTCACTCTTGTTGCCTAAGCTGGAGTGCAATGGCATGCTCTTGGCTTACTGCAACCTCTACCTCCTGGGTTAAATCAATTCTCCTGCCTCACCCTCCTGTGTAGCTGAGATTACAGATGCCCACCCCCATGCCCAGCTAAGTTTTAGTAGAGATGGGGTTTCATCATGTTGGCCAGGCTGGTCTCGAACTCCTGACCTCAGGTGATCCGCCTGCCTCAGCCTCCCAAAGTGCTGGGATTACAGGCTAGAGCCACGGCACCTGGCCAGAATTCTATTTTTAATTCTTTGAAAAACCACTATACTGTTTTTCACAGCCCCGCACCATTTTACATTCCAATCAACAGTGCTCAAGGGTTCCAGTTTCTTCACCTCTACAAAGTGCAAGGTTTTTTGAGACCATCTACTAAGTCGCCTCATTTAAACAGATAAGGAAACTTAACTCCTGGTAGGTTAAGTGACTTGACCACCTAGCTTGTTACTGTCGAAGGCAGAACTAAAGCTCGAGTCTCCCTGCTTTCCCTTTTGTGTGTATGATGCAGGCTGGTCACGTGTTTCTTTACTCCACACCCACTGCTGTGTGAGGTGCAGGAGTTTACAAAGCTGGTTCTTATGAGGCCCCCGTCCTGGTCTCCTGCGTCTTTCTGCCGCTTTCCCAAAGCTGCTTCGTGTTGTTTACCTCAAGCTTAGTAACATCTAAGCTTGTGGCATCTGCAGCGTCACACTTGGTGTTAAATGATTTGCTTTTCACTTCCCTCCTCTGTTTTCAGTCCAAAGGAGATTAGGAAAATGAACTTGCTTGTCCTGATATAGCTCTCAAAATGTCATAATTTTCTATAAAATCGTTTGAGAAGAAAATATTAATACAAATGAGGTAAGAGGGGAAGAGTAGCTGGGACTATAGGCATATACCACCATGCTTGGCTGATTTTTGTCTTTTTAGTAGAGATGAGGTTTCACCATGTTGGCCAGGCTGGTCTTGAACGCCTGACCCCAGGTGCTCCATCTGCCTCAGCGTCCCAAAGTGCTGGCATACGGGTGCCACCGCGCCTGGTATGTATATATACACGTGTGTATATAGATATATACACATATACATATATATATATATATATATATATATATTTGTTTATTTTTGAGACTGAGTCTTGCTCTGTTATCCAGGCTGGAGTGCAATGGCACAATCTTGGCTCACTGAAATCTCTGCCTCCCGGGTTCAAGCGATTGTGCCTCAGCCTCCTGAGTAGGTGGGATTACAGGCATGCGCCAGCATGCCCGGCTAATTTTTGTATTTTTAGTAGAGACAGGGTTTCACCATGTTGGCCAGGCTGGTCTTCAACTCCTGACCCCAGGGGATCCATCTGCCTTGGCCTCACAAGGTGCTGGGGTCACAGGCGTGAGCTACTGTGCCCAAATCCGCCTGATTCTTGAAAAGCTCATCTCTGACACATGTATTCAATGCTAAGGAGAAACTCACAAGCAACTGGGGGCCTGAGTTGTGTTAGTTCAACTGTCACCTTGTAGGGAATGTTGCCTGTGGCCACCAAGCAGAAGCAATGTATTGCTTACTGTTGACAAGTCCCTTGAGTTATGAGAAGTTAGAGCTCGCTTAAGTTACAGTAGGTTTGCTATTTAAATACAGGTTCGAGTTAGTGGGTAGGAGGGCTAACGATGGTTTCTTGGTAAAGTGTTTCAAGGGCTTGCTTGTGTCAGAGTGCTGGGCTTGGCAGCCATGGACGTGGATAAAGTGAATTCCTTTTTGTAACCGTCTTAGGTTTCTCCTTTCCGGCTTCTGTTTTTGTAGAAGTTTTTTTTTTTTTTTTTTTCTTTTTTGAGACGGAGTTTCGCTCTTGTTACCCAGGCTGGAGTGCAATGGCGTGATCTCGGCTCACCGCAACCTCCACCTCCTGGGTTCAGGCAATTCTCCTGCCTCAGCCTCCTGAGTAGCTGGGATTACAGAAGTGTTTTTTTTTTTTTTATTTTTATTTTTTAAACTAGGGCACTGAGAAAGAAGGAGGGACCCATTATTTGTTCTGTTTTTTTTTTCTTTTTTCTTTTTTGGCAAATGAATTTATTTCATTTTTTTCTTAGCAAATGAATTTATTTCATTTTTTTTTTCTTAGCAAACGAATTTATTTCATTTTGAAATCTGCAATCCTTTCCTCTTTCTTCAAGATATCTGAATTTGACTTGGATTTACTTACAGCCACTTCAGGAAATTGACTTTGAAGGAAATCTGAGCCAGGCAGGAATCTCTGCTCTAGAAGCTGCAGGTACCTGGCACCTGGATCCCTTTAAGCCAAGTCTCAGCATGAAGTTAAGTCTAGACAGACAAAACTCTGCTGTGAGGGCGGTTGCTGATGGGTCAATGGGAGAGACCTTTGTGATTCAGGGCAAAAAGGCTTCTTATTAAACCTTGCAGTTTAGAAACAGAGTTTGTCTTTCCATATCGAACCCTGGTCCTCTTCGGCTGCTTCTAAGTTTATGCATTCTGTGAATGGGAGTGGGATCGAGTGCCCAACCGAATTGTGCCATGTCTGTGTGTTTGTTCTTGGTTTTGCAGTCCAGATGGGTTGGGTAAGCATCCTGGCCTGGAACCAGCTGCAAGTAACCACGCAATGATGAGTTATTTGCAGTTGAATAAAGGCAGATTTTACTCATTAACCTCCGGAGCTCTTCTCTTGCGGAGAAAGGCTAAATAATGAGATTTAGCCAACCTTCCTTGGAGGTGGAGCCCCTTGTGAACTTGAGTATTTTTGTGCTTTTGTTCATCGTATGTAGACGTCCTAACTGAAACTTAAATCGTGCACGCTGTAAGCCACTTGTTGAGCCGCAGGTGGTTGATTTGTACTTTACTTAATTTCTCCAGTCCTCACTCTTCTTTGCCTGCAAAATGAAAGGACTGGAGAAAGTATTTCCAAGACCCTATTTCATCATCGGCAACATCATCATCTTCTTGACATTGTAGGAACCTGTTGGTCAGAGGCTGTACCAGACACTTTATTAACATCTCATTTAATAGTCTGCGTGTGGCTCTCCTGGACAGATTCCCTCCCAGTCTGCAGAGGACACAGGCTTAGAGAGGGCGAGGAATTAAGCAGCTGAGCTGGGTTTTGACCTTGTCTGACTCCAAAGCATTTGTTCTTCCGACTTCATCTTGCTGGTCTCTACAGCTTTTATGATTCTGGGAAAAGTACTTACGACCGCATTTCTTCAGTAAGAAACAGGTAATTGAAGAACAAAAATGAATTCTATATCTGCTTTTGAAAGAGGCTGGAATAACTGCCTTTCTTACTGTAATTTAATTACTGATAGATGAACCAGAGATTATAAGCATTCACAGAAATAAAACAACATCATTTTTAAAAATTCAGAGGATTTTCAAACAAATTTCCTGGAAGAAATTGTGCATTTTTTTTTTTCCCTGAGAGTGTCATAAAAGCTGGGTTTACGAATTGCCATTTGGTGGCAGATGGGTAAGTTATCTCTGCCTTCTTTAATATTTTTTCTTTGTAGGAAAAGAAGATCCTCTTCCTAAATTGCTGTTATATTTAGGTCTTCAGGGGTGGGATTGTGTGAATTTGCTATTATTGTAGACTGAAATCTATATATAGGGACACTCAAATGTGGTATAAATCCATGTCTTTAAAAAAAGAAAAAAGAAAGCAATTACTATGTTTGAAAGCCAAGCTATAAAAAGTAAATGAAACCATTGGAGAGCCAAGAAAGGATTTCATTTTACTGAGCAAATGCCCCTGACTTTCTTCTCCCTTTTGTGTCCTGCAGGAACAGAGTGGGGAATGCAAATGTTTCGAAATCAGGATCACAGCTTTTATTTACAGGTGGTTGAGTGCTGGCACTTGTCCCTGTCAGCACTCCTCCTATAGATGAAGTGACAGATCCAGAAGGGAAAAATCCAGAAAACAGACACTCAGCTTGTAATTTGTTAAATGTCATTTTAATTATTTAGCATTCCATAGAACCTGGTTTTATTTGAGTTTATTTAAAGAGGAGGTTATTTTTATTTATTTTTTTTGTCTCTTGCTCTGTCACCAGGCTGGTGACGATCGCACCAGTGGCGCGATCTTGGCTCACTACAACCTCCACCTCCTGGGTTCGAGCATTTTTTCTGCCTCAGCCCCCTGAGTAGCTGGGACTACAGGCACGCACCACCAGACCCAGCTAATTTTTGCATTTTTTGTTTTTAGTAGAGATGGGGTTTCACCATGTTGGCCAGGGTTGTCTCGATCTCTTGACCTTGTGATCCGCCTTCCTTGGCCTTTTAAAGCGATGGGATTACAGGCTTTTTATTTTATTTTTAGAGACGGAGTCTGACCCTGTCACCCAGGCTGGAGTACAGTGGTGTGATCTCAGCTCACTGCAACCTCCACTGGGTTCAAGTGATTCTTCTGTTTCAGTCTCCTGAGTAGCTGGGATTACAGGCACCATGCCTGGCTAATTTTTTATTTTTCAGTAGAGCTGAGGTTTCACCATGTTGGCCAGCCTAGTCTTGAACCCCTGACCTCAAGTCATCTGCCTGCCTCAGCCTCCTAAAGTGCTGCCAGCAAAGAGGAGGTTAATTTTTATTTAGTGTGTGTTCATATACATCGTAATATTTTTTTCATCAAAGTTGAAGTTAATTTCCTTGAAAATTCTTGGGTCTGACTGCTGAGGTTTGGATAGTACCTGCCAATTTTACCAATTATGTTAAAAAATCAGTTTTTAATACTCATACATAAACACATGTGAGCATCTTTTATTCCCTCACCCCACTTCACAAAGAAAAGAAAAAGCGGAAGGAAAACATTTGGATGCTTCAAAAAGGTGCTGGGAGGCTTTGCTACTGAGCAAAGCCTCCTTGAGCAGTTGTGTGGTCTCAGAACGTGGAACATCCACTGTCTTTACACCTCACAAATAGAATAGGCTTCTTTAATGGTTCTTTCTTGCTCAGAGGTACTTTGCAGCCCAGCCAGAGCTCTGATAATGATAGGCTTGATTTCTATGTGGAAACAAAACAGCTCAAATCCAGGTATTCAGCTTTGTCTTCTTCAATTGCTGCATAGCTGTGGCTAGGTACTAGATTAAAAAAAAAGAACTTCTAATGAGAGGAATATTTAAGACCTGGGTAAGCTGTCACATCGTAAAGTGCTAAATGTATTCCCCTTAGGGATCTGTTCAGAATTTCAAATGATCAAAATCTCTGTTGATTCCTCAGCAGATACAGATGTTCTTGGCTTTCTTTCTGAGTGCTTCCCCCAAGTTCTTCCCAAGGTTTCCATTAAAAATTGCCTTTTTGCAAAGAGAATTGAATTTCTCACTTTTTATTCCCTCCTGATGGGGGTAGACTGTTTTAATGCTGAGCAGTTCATTTTCTTTGCAAAACTCACTGTGGTTTATCATGATGTTTTGAAGGGGATAGACAGCTACAGAACACTGGCGGAGGGCTGGAAGTGTTTCTGTAACAAAGAGGCTGCATGCTCGAGGTATATGCATCCCAGTCGGGGCTGGAAGGTGTTGAGGGACTGACTCATCCATGACTCACATGGCCGGCTGGGTGGCCCCTTGGTTCTGGTGCCAGTCTCTGGAAGTGTGGAGCTGGTGCTCACCTCTCCCATGGGAACTTGAAAGTTAAAACATACGACGAGGCTTCTCGTTTGCTGGGAGTGGGGCTTATCTTTGGCTAGGGACTTGGTGAGAAGCTAGAATAAGCGCACATACCTTTCGGCATTTGTATGTGGTTAGGGGAGACTGGGCTACTGCTGATTTTACACATGGTGAGACTATGTAATGGAGCAACTGCTTGGGAAGAGAAAAACTGTTCATTTGTCATAGTGCACTCCTTTACCTACTTGAAATGCCACCTTTTGCTGGGCGCAGTGGCTCATGCCTGTAATCCCAGCACTTTGGGAGGCCGAGGCAGGCAGATCACAAGGTCAGGAGTTCAAGACCAGCCTGGCCAACACGGTGAAACCCCGTCTCTGCTAAAAATACAAAAAATTAGCTGGGTGTGGTGGCACGTGCCTGTAGTCCCAGCTACTTGGGAGGCTGAGGGAGGAGAATTTCTTGAACCCGAGAGGTGGAGGTTGCAGTGAGCTGAGATTGCACCATTGCACTCCAGCCTGGGATACAAGAGCAAGACTCTGTCTCAAAAAAGAAAAAAAAAAAAAAAAAGAAATACCATCTTTATCATATTCTGCATGTCCATATAATTTGTATCTATTTTTTGACTTTGAATATTTCTGCTCAGTAGCAAACTATTACATATTTTTGTTTTAATTTTTTTTTGAGATGGAGTCTCACTCTGTTGCCCAGGCTGGAGTGCAGTGGAGAGATCTCAGCTCACTGCAACTTCCGCCTCCTGGGTTCAAACAATTCTCCTGCCTCAGCCTCCTGAATAGCTGGGATTACAGGCATGTGCCACCATGCCCAGGTAACTTTTTTATTTTTAGTAAAGATGGGTTTTCACCATGGCCAGGCTTGTCTCGAACTCCTGACCTCAGGTAATCTGCTCGCTTAGGCCTCTCAAAGTGCTGGGATTACAGGCGTGAGCCACCACACCTGACCTAAACTATTAAATATTAAAATGACTGATTGTATAAATAATTTTGCTATCTGATGAGGCAAGTACCTCCTTGTTACTCTCTTTTTTCCTCAATATATTCTTTCCTGAGTATTGTTCACAAGGTTATTCTTCCAGATGAACTTTAGAATCTGCCTGTCATGCTGTTTTAAAATCTATATGGGGCCAGGTGCAGTGGCTTACGCCTGTAATCCCAGCACTTTGGGAGGCTGAGGCAGGCGATCATCTGAGGTCAGGAATTTGAGACCAGCCTGGCCAACATGGTGAAACCCTGTCTCTACTAAAAGTACAGAAATTAGCCAGGCGTGGTGGTGTGTACCTGTAATCTCAGCTACTTGGGAGGCTGAGGCATGAGAGTCGTTTGAACCTGGGAGACAGAGGCTGCAGTGAGCCAAGATTGTGCCACTGCATTCCAGCCTGGGAAACAGAGTGAGACCCTATCTCAAAAAAAATTATATCTATTTGGGATTGCACCAAATGTATAGTAATTTAAGGAGAATTATTCTCATTGATTTTAATCTTCCTGTCAAGCAACATAGACTCAGAATTTCCTAGGTCTTTGTCCCCTTTAGTAAATTTTTTATACTTTAAAAAACATTGATATTGGCCAGGTGTGGTGGCTTATGCCTATAATTCCAGCACTTTGGGAGGCGGAGGTGGGCGGATCATGAAGTCAGGAGTTTGAGACCATCCTGGCCAACATGGTGAAACCTTGTCTCTACTAAAAATAGAAAAATTAGCTGGGCGTGGTGGTGTGCGCCTGTAGTCCCAGCCACAGGCACTGAGGCAGGAGAATAGCTTGAACCCGGGAGGCAGAGGTTGCGCCATTGCACTCCAGCCTGAGCAACAAAGTGAGACTGTATCTCAAAAAAAAAAAAAGATATTATACATTATTATTAATTTCTTCTTATTTAGTAACATTTGCTGGGGATAGAGGATTCATTTTTCTTTCTTGAGACAGGGTCTGGCTCTGTCACCCAATCTGGAGTGCAGTGGCACAAGCATGGCTCACTGCAGCTCTGACCTTCTGGGCTCAAGTAATTCTCCTGCAACTACAGGTATGTGCCACCACACCGGGCTAATTTTTTCTTTTTTTTTTTTTTTGTAAAGATGAGGTCTTACTTTGTTTTCAGGCTGGTCTCAAAATCCTAAGCTCAAGGAGTCCTTCCATTTTGGCCTCCCAAAGTTTTGGGATTACAAATGTGAGTCACTGGGCCCAGCCCAGGATTTTTTCCCTCAATTATTATTATTATTATTATTTTTTGAGATGCAGTCTCACTCTGTCACCCAGGCTGGAGTGCAGTGGCACCATCTTGGCTCACTGCAACCTCTGCCTCCAGGGTTCAAGCGATTCTCCTGCCTCAGCCTCCCAGGTAGCTGGGACTACAGGCATGTGCTACCATGCCCAGCTAAATTTCTGTATTTTTAGTAGAGACAGGGTTTTACTGTGTTAGCCAGGATGGTCTGTATCTCCTGACCTTGTGATCCACCTGCCTCAGCCTCCCAAAGTGCTGGGATTACAGGCGTGAGCCACCGTGCCTTGCCTCACTCAATTAATTTTTAATTGGTTATTACTAATATAGAGAAGCTTACCAATTTTGTGTATTCATCAGTTTTCTTACTGTTGAAAATAGATACTTGGTGCCGCAAAGAAAAATTAGCACTGAGACAAAAGATCTTTTAGCAATGTCATTTTTACTTCCTGGACTGCAGGAAGATTACTCTCACTAGCCATCTTGCCACAAGAGTACAATGAGCAAAGGAAAATAGACATATTTATCCCTTATGCATTTGGGGTTGTTATTACTGCCATGTCTGATCTCTGTTGGCTGGAGCCAGACCTCGAAATCTAAACTAAAACCTGATTGGCTAATAACTTAAATTTTTTTTTTTGAGATGGAGTCTCCCTCTGTTGCCCAGGCTGGAGCATGATCTTGGCTCACTGCAACCTCCACCTTCCATGTTCAAGTGATTCTCCTGCATCAGCTTCCTGAGTAGCAGAGATTACAGGCATGCCACCATGCCTGGTGATTTTTTTTTTTTTTTTAGTAGAGACGGGGTTTCACCATGTTGTTCAGGCTGATCTTGAACTCCTGACCTTGTGATCCACCCACCTTGGCCTCCCAAAGTGCTGGGATTACAGGTATGAGCCACCGCGCCTGGCCAATTTAAAATTTTTCTAAACAGGTAAAAGCAGTGGAGAGGTGGGACATGCCTGTGAGCACGTCCATCACAGATATTTTGGTTAAAGGACGAGGACATAGAATGTACTATGTGCCTGTAAGTGTGGCATGTTTAACAGCTACATAGAATAGGGCTTCACAAAGTTATTAGCACACTTATTCTTTAACAAGAAAAGAAAAATTTAATAAGGAACTTTTCTACTTCCCATACTTTCTTAACTTAATGATTCTAGAATTTTCAGCTTTGACTTTCTAAGCAGATGTCATATCATCTGTGAAAGTAGGAACAATATTTGTTCCTCATTTGTTTTCTTGTCTCACTGCATTAGGGTTCATAAAATAAATTGGTAAACTTTCCATCTTTCACTATACTCAGGAACTATATACATATGTATATATATGTATGTATATATATATGTGTGTGTGTATATATATATATAAAACCTATGGACTTTGTGTGTATGTGTGTTGTTTGTTTGTTTTGAGACAGGGTCTTTGTTGTCCAGGTGGAGTACAGTGATGCAATCGCCGCTCATTGTGACCTCTGCCTCCCAGACACAAGCCATCCTCCCGCCTCAGCCTCCTGAGTAACTGGGACCACAGGTGTGCACCAATATGCCTGACTAATTTTTGTATGTTTTATAGAGATGAGGTCTCACCATGTTGCCCATGCTGGTCTTGAACCCGGTGCTCAAGCCATCCTCCCACCTTGGCTTCCCAGAGTGCTGGGATTACAGTCATGAGCCACTGTGCCTTTGTTTTTTGCAAATTTCATAGTTATCATTGGTGAAGCAAGTGGGCTTGAAATGATCTTTGTGTTACCTGATGATAACTTTCTGAAATTATGGAGTTTGGGGAGGCAGGAGAGAGTATGGGATGAAGCAGGCCAGATGCAGTTAGAGAGTTGATCAACTTGGAAAGAGAACTTCACAACCAAGTTGTGATCTGTCTTAGTGCCTTTTTCCTAGAAAACAAGGAAATGACATAGGTTGTTAAAACCGAACTGCTGGCCGGGCGCGGTGGCTCACGCCTGTAATCCCAGCCCTTTGGGTGTCCAAGGCGGCCAGATCACAAGGTCAACAGATTGAGACTATCCTGGCCAACATGGTCAAACCCTGTCTCCACTAAAAATACGAAAATTAGCTGGGTGTGGTGGCACGCGCCTGTAGTCCCAGCTACTTGGGAGGCTGAGGTGGAAGCACCGCTTCAACCTGGGAGGCGAAGGTTGCAGTGAGTCGAGATTGTGCCACTGCGCTTCAGCCTGGCGATGGAGCAAGACTCCGTCTCAAAAACAAAACAAAAGAAAACAAAACAAAACCGAACTGCCTTCAGTTGGTAAGAGGTTGATTTTAACAGTCTTGCAATAGCTGCTCACATTTGTTACTATGATCTCCAGAAGAGATTAAGGTGGAGAAGGAGCAATAGCCAGGGATTTGCCCCTGTCTGGTTGTCAGGAGGAACAAGCTGTTGATCTCTGCTTTTATCCTGCGTCCAAACCGCAAGCCTCCCGGTACTGTTCACCCCACTGCTAAAGGGGTGTCTGCTTAGGGATTCCTTTCCGTGGGGAATGCTGGCCGGTCCATGGTTTGATTGGATTCCTCATGTGCTTGTGGAAGAACGTTAGCTGCTTTCCCAGTCTTGTTTCTGTGCAGGAATACTAACCGGTAAATTTTGGAGAAAGCTGTGGTCCTATAATAGTGGAATTATATTTTGGATTCTGCTTTTCACTGTAGAATTTTTTTGGTTAAGTGTGGACCTGAGCTCAACCAGGGAGCTTCCATAGCCTTCCAGATAATGAGATGAAATCTTTCATTTTAGTGATCTTCCTGTGTTTACTTCAGGATCTCAGCTGTCTCTCGTTGGAAGACTTGGGGAAATGAAAGGTAAGGATTCCTCTGCCATAGTAACGGTGCCAAAAGATTTCATAATTTGAGAATGCATTCATAGTTTATGTGAGGCTCTTTGCCCTCCTTGACTGCTGTTCTCTTTGTTGTATGTGGCTAACACTTTTTATGAAATTCTTTGCAGTTGGTATCACAAGATACCTTCTGATGTATTTAGCCTTTTGACAGTATGCTGAAAATTTTAATATGAACATGCATGGTCATAAATACTTTTCAGTGTTAAATTAGCTGCTTAAAAAGGTGTAATGCCTATTCGCCGGGTACAGTGGCTCACACCTGTAATCCCAGCACTTTGGGAGGCTGAGGTGGGTGGATCATGAGATCAGGAGATTGAGACCATCCTGGCCAACATGGTGAAACCCCATCTCTACTAAAAATACTAAAAACTTGGCTAGGTGTGGTGGTGCATGCCTGTAATCTCAGCTACTTGGGAGGCTGAGGCCTGAGAGTCACTTAAACTCAGGAGGTGGATGAAGGTTGCAGTGAGCCGAGATTGCACCATTGCGCTCCAGCCTAGCAACAATGTGAGTCTCAAAAAAAAAAGGTGTAACACCTATTAACTTCATGTCAATTTCATTGTTTTTAAAAGACAAATACACATGTGCTTCTCTGTGTATGTTATGCAGAGTAGAATTAATCAATATAAATCCAGGTGAGTCTTTCTAAATTACTCAGACACCGTTCCTGATACTTTAAATAATTTTTGCTATTATTTTATAATTTATCTTGAATATCTTTTAGTAGCTGTCTCAAAATTGCAAGAGTTTTTGTTTTAAAAATGAAGAGATGAGGCTGGGAGTGGTGGCTCACGCCTATAATCCCAGCACTGTGGGAGGCCAAGGTGGGCAGATCACTTGAGCCCAGGAGTTTGAGACCAGCCTGGGTAACATGGCTAAACCCCATCTCTCCAAAAAATAGAAAAAATTAGCCGAACATGGTGGCACACACTTATAGTTCCAGCTACTCCGGAGGCTGAGGTGGAGGGATCACCTAAGCCCAGGGAGGTTGATGGTGCAGTGAGCTGAGATTGCACTATTGCACTTCAGCCTGGGCGCAGAGTGTGTGTCTCTGGCCTTTTAAGACTAAACAAAGAGCAGAACTTGTATTTAAATGAAAGGAACTACATATATTAGGAGATATTTCCATGTGATGGGCTTAAAGATGAAACATAAGGTTATTGTTTTCAGTTATCTGATTCGCTTTTCTTACTTTTGGGTAGAATCAAAAGTAAGGAAAATTCTTAGGAAAAAAAGCACGTTGTCTATTTAATTTGAGGTATCTACGAAAGCTATTTTAGTTCATATTTTGAATATATATATCAAGTGAGACTAGGGGCTTCAAAAGGTAAGAGATTTACAGTTGCTGTAAGTACCACTTTGGCATAGCAGAAGAACCTTTCGAAGTATGGCATATACTTTACAGACTCTACAGTGGACGATCTGTGAGAGAAAAAGGTTTGACTTAGTGGAGAGGCTATGCTACTGTGAGAAGGGAAATTATGTTTAGTTGAACAAGCTAAGCCATCTGCCAAAATGTTCTCCTCAGTGTTCCTGTGTGTTTTCTCTGGGTGCATACACATGTCTTCAGCCTGTGCGAACCTGCCTGCTTGTCTGTGAACAGGAATGAAAGTCTGGAAAGCTTCCATTGTGATCCTTTCCCCACTTGCCACTCACAGTGTGGTTCATGGAATGCAGTACTCGGTGGGCTTACATTTGAAGCGTGAAGATGCTGATAGCAATCTGTGTCATGCATGGCATTAATCACTAAATCCCTGTCCACACAAGCATCATCAAATGGTGAATTAAGGCATCTGCCAAAAGAATGCAGTGGGAATTGTTGGAGGATGAGCTGGGTTTGTGTTCTTCATCTCCACTGCGCTCCAACCCTCTACAGTCTGCAGGGAGTTTTTTTTGTTTTTTTTTTTTCTTTTTTGAAACAGAGTCTGGCTCTGTCACCCAGGCTGGAGTGCAACAGCATGATCTTGGCTCACTGCAATCTCCACCTCCCGGGTCCAAGCAATTCTCCTGCCTTAGTCTCCCAAGTAGCTGGGATTATGGGTGCCCGCCACCACGACCAGCTAATTTTTTGTATTTTTAGTAGAGATGGTTTTCGCCATGTTGCCCAGGCTGGTGTCGAACTCCTGGCCTCAGGTGATCACCCGCCTTGGCCTCCCAAAGTGCTGGGATTATAGGTGTGAGCCACCGTACCTGGCCTGCTTTTTTTCTTCTTCTGAACATTTGTGTTGTATATAGACCAAAAGAATTTAGGGTATGTAAAAGAATCATTTCCCGTAATATTTTCTGTCTTTAGTTGAAAACGGCTATGTGTTAATTTTAGGACCACAGCTCTTTTACATTTCCTTTCTGTTGTCCGTGTTGGTGCTCTTGCCTGTGTGCCTGTTAGATTGTATCTTCAACACATCTGGCCAAATTCAATCTGGTCTAGATTTGTTCCTAGGGCTTCTCATTGCCTTCCTGGCCATTGGGAGAAGGCTAGGACACCTGGATTCCATTTTGAGAACATGCATATCACTGCAGCAGTGATGGTCCCAGGCCCTCTACAGTCCTGCCTATGCCCGACTTACATGGGGCCCAAAGAGACAACTTTGGTGTGGTTACCACTGGGTTACTTGTGTGATCTCTCAGGAGTACGTTTAAGTTTTAGGTTGCATTAATTCCTAAAGGGAGCTGGCTTCTCTCCCCAAAACAGCAGTTGAAAAGATAAGACATAATCTTTTTATTTTTATTTTTTATTTTGAGATGGAGTCTTGCTCTGTCGCCCAGGCTAGAGTGCAGTGGCATGATCTTGGCTCACTGCAACCTCCGCCTCCTGGGTCAAGCGAGTCTCCTGACTCAGCTTCCTGAGTAGCTGGGATTACAGGCATCTGCCACAGCGCCTGGCTAATTTTTGTATTTTTAGTAGAGACGGGGTTTCACCATCTTGGACAGGCTGGTCTCTAGCTCCTGACCTGGTGATCCACCTGCCTCGACCTCCCAAAGTGCAGGGATTATAGGCGTGAGCCACTGCGGCTGGCCGGTATATGGTGATCCACCTGCCTCGGCCTCCCAAAGTGCAGGGATTATAGGCGTGAGCCACTGCGCCTGGCCGGTATAAGACATAGTCTTATTTTGCTTCTGAACAACTTTATCCATGGTCTCCAATATTTGTTTTATCTTATGAAATTCTCTAATCTTGTAATTGTTATAGCACTTTGGCTCTGAAATTTAGAGTAGATGCACAGCAGGTTTCTTAGGTTTAAAGATAAAACTAAGAGTAGAAAGGTTTAGCTTTTTAGGTAAGAAAGGAAGCTGTGCCAGGTGTGAGTTATGCTCAGAAAGAAATGTTTGCCCACAAAATATTTCACATGCAGCATCTTCTTTAGACCCGCTCTGTCTGTTTCCCAGAAGACTCTTGTCCCCTCCTTGAAGTAACTTCTGCCTTTGGCTCCTGGGCCAGCTCCTTTCTCTTGGTTTGGCTTTTCCTTTCTTTTCTTTCTTGATGGAGTCTCCCTCTGTTGCCCAGGCTAGAGTGCAGTGGCATGATCTTGGCTCACTACAACCTCCCACCCCCCGGTTCAAGAAATTCTCCTGCCTCAGCCTCCCGAATAGCTGGGACTGCAGGCACACAGCACCACACCTAGCTAATTTTTGTATTTTGAGTAGAGATGGGGTTTCACCATGTTGACCAGGCTGGTCTCGAACTCCTGACCTTAGATGATCTGCCTGCCTCGGCCTCCCAAAGTGCTGGGATTACAGGTGTGAGCCACCACACCCGGCCGGGTCCAGTGGTTTAACCTCCAACTGGATGTGTTCATTTAGATGTTTGCTACCCTCCTGCAGCTGAGTGCATCAGAAGCGAGTAAAGCCTTTTCACCTCAGACTTGCATCTCTCCAGGGAGCTCCTGCCTCACAGCATGTTCTGTGGAGTCTGAGACCCCCATGTTTGATTCCTGGCTAGGCTAGTTAACCTCTTTTTCCTGCCTTATCACATTGGCTGGGACCTCAAAGACAACGTTGGCTTGTTCCTGGTCTTAACAGAACACATTCAGGCCAGGTGCGGTGGCTCATGCCTGAATGTGTTCATTCGGGATCCTGAATGTAATTCCTGCACTTTGGGAGGCTGAGGCGGGTGGATCATGAGGTCAGGAGTTAGAGACCAGCTTGGCTAAAGTAGTGAAACCCCATCTCTACTGAAAATACAAAAAATTAGCTGAGCGAGGTGGTGGGTGCTTGTAATCCCAGCTACTCGAGAGGCTGAGGCAGGAGAATTGCTTGAACCCGGGAGGTAAAGGTTGCAGTGAGCTGAGATCATGCCACTGCACTCTAGCCTGAGCGACAGAGGGAGACTCCATCTCAAAAAAAAAAAAACAAACGAGTGCATTCAACCTTCACCCATTACCCATTAAGTATGATGTTAGCTGCAAATGTTTTGAAAGATGCTGTTTATTATGAACTTTTAAAAAATAACGTTGAAAATATTTTTCATTAGCTGATTATGAATTAATATTTTTTAATATTTACAGGATCGCTGTTAAGAACAACAAAAACCAAAACCCACCCTAATAATCTTAAGGAAATTTAAAATCGTACTTCACTGAAACTTATATGGGTCAAAGAAGCTTTCATAGTTGAAGAGGAAAAGGTAGAAATATGGTTTAGGGAAATGAATTGATTGTTGTAGTTTGTTTAATCCATAGTACACACTGATTCTTTATTTGCTGAATGAACGAATGTGCAAGTGATGTAAGTTTAGTTTCGCTCTTTTTTCATTCTTGGCCTTAAATGTATCTTCCTATTGTTATCATTTTTTGAGATAGAGTCTCTCTCTGACACCCAGGTTGGAGTGCAGTGAATGATCTCGACTCACTGCACTTCCACCTCCCGGGTTCAAGCAATCCTCCTGCCTCAGCCTCCCGAGTAGCTGGGACCACAGGGGTGTGCCACTGCACCGGCTAACTTTTATGTTTTTAGTAGAAATGG